CCATTGGGCATTATGTTTGTATTTTTATTTTTAATTATTAAATTGGTATACAGTTAAGTAGATGTTTTTTCCATATTTTTATTACATGTAAGGGTTTTTGCGTACATATAAAACATCAATAGTTCAATTTTACCCTTAAACTACTTATTACTCTATAGTAGATCTACTGTTCATTGATAGATTTTTTTAGCGGATCGTTAACGGGTATTTTATAATTGAAACAGTACAAAATTTTCAACAAAAATATTTAACTTAATATTGTCCTTTTACAACTTAATAGTTCTTAAGAAAAAATAATATATTTGGCCTACTTCTTTACATTTTGTGGCAATTAGGAAATAAACATATGTATAAGTTGCATGTATTAGTACATTTTCGTACCTGATTAGTGCATTCGGAATAAAAGACAAATTTTGTTGCATTGGTACCTACTTAATATTTATATGGATTTTTTACATTTTCATGATAACATAAAAAATTGTGGGCCCACTTCAGGAATTCTGAATCAATGTAATATTAAATTATAGAGATGGGAACATTCCCATTTGACGAAAATTCCCGGAAACTTTCCATCGAAAATTCCCGAAATTTTCAAAAAAAAAATTATTGCGAAAATATTTTTTTTATGCCAGGGTTTTTGTGATGAAGCTGAATAATCCGGCTTCATTGAGGTTATGTAACATAACTTACATTAGTTATACTTCTTCTTCTGCCTTAAATTAACACACAGAGCATTTCCACGCGTAACGTACGGACATTCGGACGCGTTTTATCATATAAATGTTTAAATTACTATTACTTATTTAAGTTTAACACAAAAACGCTTGACGCCATCTGAAAGAGCAGTAAATTTCCCATGAAATAGGCTTATGTGAGCAGTAAAAATACTTTTTCAAAAGAAAATGCAAGTACCAGTATAAAAAGCGTAACGTACGGACACCGAAGACACCCATTTTGTATCCCCTCTGTTAACGTTTGGGACTCTGCGAATTCAAATCAAATTTTCTTGCTTTATACGTGGTTTTGGATTGCCCAAAGAACTGAGATCACGATACTATTTGCGACTAAGGATTTGATTTTTTCGTTTCTTCATTATTTGCGGAAATTATCCAAAATAAAAACGTTACGTACGGACAAGGTCTCGTAACGTACGGACATACACATTTAATACACATTATAATCACGGTATTTAAAAACACAAAATCATATTCGTACCCGTTAGTTAGATTCAATTGTTGGGGAACATATGAAAAAGAAGAGAACACGTTTAAATAAATGTATTTTTTTACATTTTTTATTAATTACATGTTTTGAACGTTTAAACTAGTATTGCTGAATAATACTCATAATTAACGATACAAATTGTTACAACTTATCAATATGAATGTAAAAACGAAGCGATTTCTAAAATAAACTAAAATTACTGAAAACGAAAAAAAAAGTACACAAAATATGCATACACGCGAACTTCATTACTTCATGCGGACTGCGATGCGCCTGTCTTTATGCACATTAGATTCTTCGGCAACGCTGATCCAGTAAGGAGCGAGGGAAAACACAGCATGAATTCTGTGCGTTCTTGGGACTGTCGCAAGATCTTTCCAGTGTTCTTCGAGATCTGCGGAATTAACATCAATGTCTGCTTTGCTCAGAAACTCAACGTGAATCTTAGGGCATGCTTCTTGAGCTATAGATGTGAATTCTTCAGCAGTATTTACCACAGCTCCGCTTTTTGCTCGCCTCCACACCGAACCTTTTATTGTTCCTCCAATGGCATCAACCACCCCTTTTCCGTGACCTGATGCGAAAAAGTGCCAAGATAGCTTAATGCCGTAGCGCGCTTCAAAAACATGCAGGTTCGAAAAAAGGTACTTTTGCTTGAATTGGCTAGCGGCTCCGTCTGAAAATATTTTTACTTCAGCCACTTCATCGTAATTTTCGGTAATTAGTTCAAGTAGCCGTTCGATGAATTTATAAACGCTGATTTTTCCATGCGTCAATTCGTCCGAAACTAACGCGAAACTCTGCGCTTCCTTAGCGGACATCCAAGCATAGGCAGTAAAAACTGTGCATTGCTGGTGACACCAATGCGCACTTTGTATTTCATTTTGTTGTTTTAAAGCGTAATTCTCAGCAAAGTCAACTTGCAGTGCAATTTGTTTTCCATCGACGCTGGCAATGGTGTCTTCAAAAAATTTTGCTTGCGCTCGCTTTACATACGAGTGTTCCAGAAAATAACGTAGCTGATCCTTTAGATGTTGAAAACATTGTTGCAAATCCCAATCCATTATTTTTTTCTGAAGTGGTTGGCTTATCCATTGCTCGCAACTTGGTGAAATCACAGAAGCGTTAATAACGAAATTTCGGGGATTGAGTTCATCGATCTTGTCACGACACTGGTCGCATTTGTTGGTCATACAATCTTTTTTACTCTGATCGCAGGTGACAAGTGCGATAAATTCCTTGAAGGATCGTGGAACTTGAGTGTAAGGATGCATGGCATTCAAGATAAGGCGCACATTTTCGTGATATCGACAAACGCATACACCTTGAGGCAAGTCTCCAAAGATGCAGATTTCTTTGGGCTTCAACTCACAAAATAATGAGCGGCCAACGGGTTGATCTTTGTGCTCCTTCAGGTACATTTGGTGTGCCTCAACAAGAGACATTAACATATATCGTTTGGGGATGTACTGCTTTTGTATCCTTCCATTCTCATCGTGATGTCTCAAAATGAGTCTATCCTTCATATTTGGAGATTGCCACGAAATTTGATTAGAAAGATAAAATTGTTGCACATTTGCTTTTGTTTGTTCATTCGATCCTTTGCGAATTTTTTCTGAAAATGCTAGTGGAGATGTGACTAATCGGAGACCTTGTTCTTCAGCGAGGGCAGCGACAACAGCTTTTCTTTTTCTTGGGCTACTCGGTAAGGATCTTCTTGCCCTGTATAAAGCTTTTCCAAATGATTGACGGGACCGATATGAAGAAAGAGTAAGGCTTGAACAGCTTGAATTCATTGATGAATCAGATTGCGATAAAGCCTTTCTTGAAACTCTTTTTCTCTCAGCTTCTTTTTCGCGATGGTCTTTTAGTTTCCCTAAATCTGTAGCAAGTTTTTTTCTGAAGAGCCGAGACCGTTGAGCTTCTTTTTTCTTCTGCATTACATCAACCCCTTTTTTTTTCAGATTTTCCCGGTATCTTGCTTGGCGCTCTGCGGACGTCAAAGCAGAGGTTTTGGTTTTCGGTGCCATGTGATGGTGATTTTTATATGACAATTTTTGTCAAGTTTCAAAAATTTTGCTCAAATACAACTTGCAATTATTTACCAGTATTTCGTAACGAAGACTTAAAGTTGTATTTTCTTGGTCGCAGAACACTTTTTGAATTAACGATGAATGTTCGTTGGTATTCATAAAACAGCAATATCAATACGCGAATATTCACGTCCGTTTTGACAGCGATTGACTTTTTATGGTTATGCTGTATGTTGGAATATATGTGCGCATGTGCAAATAAACTGAGAACATGTGCAACATTAATTTTCGAAAAAAATGTCTTACAAATTATTTTATGTTCAAGAATGGTTTTATATTTAATGTTTACATATATATATATAAGAAATGTTATTAATAATTCTACATATTTATATTTATTACTTTGACAGTTGAGATAAGCAATGAATGTAAAACCTTAAATCCGTACATCACTAAGTTAGAACTCGGAAATAGTCGTTTTTTGCACCTCGGTTACATGAGAAAAATACAATGGTGTCCGTCCGTTACGCAAAAAAAATTAACTTACACTTGTTTTAAAAATATGAAAAAATTCCACGTTATAAAGTGCTAACTTTTGGCTTTGTATATGAAAATTGGAAGGTATTTGATAATTCTGTCACACAGTAGACGAACTTTTGTATGTTTTTCGTAACGTACGGACACGAAAAATTCAAAAAATTGAAAATGCTTTGCATTGATCAAATTTTCTTTAAGAAAAATTTTCTCAGCGTCGAAATACACTTAAAGATACCATGAATGAATTGCAATATTAAATCAGAGCTAACTATTTTGCCTCCAGGATTTCTGTTACTTGAAAACTCAAGAGAGATATATGCTCAATGAAAGGTCAGTGCGTCTGCCATGTCAATAAGCTGTTCATTCATGAATTATCAGTTATATATTAACATGTATTGTTGGAACACCACATTTAAACCTCCATTAATGTTATTCTAAACGAAATATGACATAATTCATTGATTGACATTTCGCTTTCTGTGTCCGCGTTTTCGTGGAAATGCTCCACATTAAATTCTTATTCAAAGTTTCTTGGCCTTATATCATGGACTTAACGAAAATCAGCGGTTAAACAATTGACATTTAAATGAAAAAAACAAGGAAAGTTTCCAAGGAATGTTTCCGGTAGCTTAAAAGAAACTTTCAAAATGAAAATAAATTTCCAATTGGAAACTTTCCAAAACGGAAAGTTTCCTTAAAATGGAAACATTCCGATTCCCATCTCTATTAAATTACATTATATTTATTTTGCACTATTATCTTTGGTTTTATGTTATATTACCAATTTCTAGCATAAAATCATGGATAATAGTGGCTTTAGTGAATTATGAAAACTCATATAGATCAAATTCTGTAGCCCTTCAGTCTCAAAACTATACATTACACTGGTCAACAGCCATTTTTCTGCAGGGTAGGCATTTTTATGGTAACTTTGGAAATGTGTATAACTTATATTATATTTTTTCTGTTAATTAGAACACATAGTAATATTATCAAGAATCCTTGATTAAGTATTTAATTTAAAAATATATACGCTAATTTATTTTTTTTTACAATTTACAATTGCGAAAACAAGAGCTAATTTACCAAAATGATGCCTATATTTTGATTCTGTGCACACAAATTACCATAGAAAAGTTGCAACAAACAGTAAATTTTATTTTATCGGCCTGTGATATATCATAAAAAAAAATTTAAATGACTTACGTTTTTATCCAAGGCAACATACAGAGTAAACGGATCATGCTTCATTAACTCAGCTGACCTCCTTGGTCTGTCTTTTCTTGGAATAATAGAGCCACCTCTGTAGAAAGCTGGGCTCTAAAAATAAAAACCATTTAAAACTAACTCTGTATAAAAAATAATTTTGCTTACCTTGTCTAGCGACACTGGTATGTTATAGTTACCAGTACCAGTATACTTTCTGAAGTCCTCGACATCATACCAATATTGCGATGAACCTCCAGGCAAATGCACAGTGACTGAAGACGCTCCAGCCTCTGTGACAGGATGGGCCAGAACAGACGAACCTACCATTAGGCAATTATCCACATCCACCAAGTTCATGTCATTGGGGAATTCGTAGAATAAGGGTCTGATCACGGGGTCGCCGGTAATTTCGTGCTCCCAGAAGAGGGTGTAGAAAAGAGGTAGATGGGCGTAACGCAGACGCAGAGAGTTTCTGATTCTGTTCTGTACGTCTTCGGGGAAGAGATAAGGCTCGCGACGGCGCGTGTCAATGTGCGCATGCGCTCTCATGAATGGAAGCCATACTCCAGCCTAAATAACGCAACAAAAAAGTACAGTAACAGTAAAAATAATAGTTTTCAGACGAGAGACTACTTATTGCTATTTTACCTAAAATATTATTAATAAAGGGTGTCTGAATAGGAAATACCTGAAAAATTTGGAAATAATTTTATTTTTATTTCGACATAAAGTACACATCTTCCGATTATGCATGAAACAAAATATTCGACAAATGAATTTTTTTTAACATTCTCGCAAATGTGCTGCTGTATTTCGCCAATAACACGTCAAATATCGTCTTTAAGTTGATGAATTGTTGCTGGTTTGTTGACCCAAATTCTGCAATTTTGTTTCTTGACAACCACTAAAACGAAAGTGCGCTTCATCGCTAAATAAAATTGCCTTTGCAAATTCAAAATCTTGTTGCCTTGCCAGAATCCAATTAACAAATTCCCGGCGCATTGCATGAACTACTGGGATTAGCGCCTGTATTAATTGAATTTTGTATGGATGCAAATGAAGATCTTTTTTTAAAATTTGCTGTAAACTGCTCCTCCAAATAGCAACTTGTTGGGAACGACGACCAATCGAGGTTCCAGGATTTTCGATTTCATATTTATAATGAGTCTTAAGAGTAGCAACACGTTGTTCTAGAGAACACCGCTCCATAACTAATAAAATCAGAATTTTTTTAAACTACAGAAAACATATTTCAAGGTTGCACTTTGCAAAAAATAGGAACATGGCGAAATTTAAATCCGGCGTTCCTATTGAGACACCCTTTACAAAACATATGGCGACATTACATTTTTCTATGACAACATTTTGACCTGTGAAATAATAAAAAGTTGGCCAAAGAATGTTTTAATGTCGTCAAATTGCCACTACTTAAAGAAGCGTAAGAAACATATGTTTTAATATTGGTTCTTTAAAAAGGCCTGCATACCTTTGTGCAGGGATTTGTGAAATATTTATTATGGGTTGAATTTGTTTCAATTAGTGGACGGGACCAAGCTTATTATAATAACTATAGGCCAGTAAAAGGGTATGTTGACCTAATACTTTTATACCGGTCGAAATATTTTTTTGTATCCAAAGAGCATAAATTGAATAGTATATATTCTGTCCTACTATAGAGAAAGGCAGTAACTGCTAAACAAGAAATTAGTGGAAAATTAGCATAAACTACATTTTTATAAGAAGCAGTAGGTATTTAATTGATTATTTTGACTTATGATATATATATTTGACTGCATTTCTGTGTTGAATTCGGTTACAAAATGTCCATAGCTTTACCATAGCACAAGAAAACGCATTTTGCATTTTTTTGCAGTTACTGCCTTTCTCCATAGTAGGGCAGTATTGTGGTGTTTGGATTTTGACTTATACCTTATCATCCTGCCTAAAATACCCCATAGAGACCCTGTTCAAACCGATAAATATTTGTATCGGAAAGTATGGTGTTTCTATAGAGTGAATCGGTATATATAGAACCCATAGTTGGGATTTATGGTAGTTCTATAGGGATTTCCACCCTTCATTTATTTGCTATTGGTTTCAATGGGGAAAATACACATAAATGTAGAAATTAGTTTTTCCCCATAGGACCCCATAGGTTTTAATAAAATGTTGTCAAAGGTTTTATGGTTGCTCTATAGGGATATCGATATATATCTTTCATTGAGTTATTTGCTATCAGTCTCAATAGGGAAAATGTAAAAGTTATGGTGTGCCTATAGGTAATTTCCTATAAATTTTCTATCGGGCCGTATCCGGAAAAAACCATAGACAAATGCATGAATCCGGTAGCGCCCGATAGATTATTTTGTATAAGTCTCTATGGGGTATTTTAAGCAGGGCATGTACAAAATTGTGTAAATGTGATTAACAAAGATTTGTAGTTGTGCAAACCTTACGAATTTCATACCCGCAAGAAGAATTTTTATAAGTACTCCCCACAAATATTAAAGGCATTATAAAGGACGTTAAAGCATATTTTAGAATGTTAAAACCATGTAAGAATGTCAAATTTACTTATGACTAATAAGTTATTAGCAATTTATAATATAACTTTCAAATTTATAATTATAATAAATACAATTTATAATGTGAAAATCAATTTTTTTAAAGTTGGATACTCTTTAAAATGTAAAAAAAACATTTAAAATTTACAAACAAGCACATTTTATATTATCTAAATATTTATAACATCTAAATCATATTTTAAATCACTGTGTGGATTATATTATGTTTAAAGCTTAACACTGATATCAAGACATACCTGGTACCATCTTTGAAGTAACTCAGCATCGGGATTATGGAAGAAACCGCCGATATCGGCTCCGCAGTTACTGAGACCACCGAGAGCGACTGAAAGACACATCGGGTAACTTATGGCCAAATGCGACCACTGCGCATCGTTATCGCCAGTCCACATTGCGCAGTACCTTTGGGAACCAGGAAAGTGACTTCTTGTCAAGATGAACGGTCTCTTGTTAGGTGTTCTTTGCAGAAGGGCGTCATGTGTAACCATAGTCTAAGGAAATCATATTGGCAATGTTTTTTAACTGAATTATGTAGGAAATTTAAATCTTACATAGGCAAGTCCAACTTCATTGTGGACAGCTCTGTGTTCAATGTTGCCATAATGTAGACAATCTTTAGGCATGGTGACCTCGGGTCCGTTAAATACAGAGGGTTCATTCATGTCATTCCAAATGTAAACGTCATCAGTGGTACCCTTGAATTTGTCAACAGAATAAAGTCCCTTGAAATATTCGCGTGCGTATGGGTTGTAGAAATCTAGATAGCTGCTAGCACCTGGCCAACACCAACCTAACAAAAAATCAGGGGTTTTATGATTTAAATCGCGATCACTTGATTTTTTATTTAAATCATGATTAAAATAAAGTACTGTAATAAGGATAAAATTAAAAAAAAACATTCAACTAATTCGTAAAACACTTTTAAGGGAAAGGCTCAACATGTGCATTAAGGCGAGGGGTAAACCACTTTAAAATCAGCGAGACCAACGCTATATGGACCTTGTATTCTGATTTTTTCTTATCAGTTGTTATAAATAAGGAAAAATCCTTTTCAATAAAAAATTTCTCTTGAAGACGGGTTTCGCATGACTACCCTTGCGATTTGTATGCGATTTTAAATTTTTAAAAATCAGTGGAAAGTAAAAAAAAGATTTATTTAATTTGTTTTGAAGATCCATTCAAAGTAACAGTAAATTGGTTTACAATGTAGACAGACTATTTAAGTTCCAGTTAAATTTTCTTAAAATGTTTTATGCCTACCACATGGTAAAAATACTTTATGTATATCTAAATTAAAATTATTTGCTTCTTCTACATTCCTTAAATGTTGCTCTATAAAACTTAATGCACTGCAAAAGTACAAAATGTGGGTATACAAAAATGGCTCAATAATTGTTATTAAAACTGAAACCAGTACCCAATGCTCTGGATAAAATACTAGGTGATAAGTGTTTTTTGGAAAGATCCCATATATAAAATCCGTAAGAGCGATGTTTTAAGCTCAGTTCAATTTTCAAATAAAATACAAAAAAATATCATATGCCATATTTATATTATTTTTTATGTAAAATCACTTTAATTCTGTAAACCTGAGACTGTAAACTTTTTTTTTGATAGTCGAAAACTATCGATAAATAGTTTTCAGTAGTCGGCCATGTAACTACCAATAGTTATCGATAGTTTTTGTTGGTTGTTTATTACCGCAGTAATGCGAAATTTTCTAATAATTTCTAGTTATTGTGTTGCCCAAGCACGTTTTGTGATAAAATTGTATTTTTGTTTTTTTTATTATTTTTTAACAATAAGGTATTGCATTTATTTATTAAGTTAAACAAATGGTAAGCGCAATTATTCTATTATACTATTTAGGCTCGCAGAAGACTATTACTTTTGTTCCATGGGGTGTTGAGTGGTTTATTTGTTTATGTTTATGTTAGACGATCAGAAATTGGTTTCGAGTGTTACCTACTTTAGATTTATGAGTTTATTAACTTTCAAGTCACGTCCTTTGGTTGGATATGCTTGTTTTTATTTTTAAGTCGAACTTGCTTTGCTGTATAAGCATACATGAAATACCTATAGGTATTTTTTGGACTTTTAGGGTGTTGGTTTATTATTCCCTGTTCACCTATTTTGAAGTTGTTTTTTTGATGTATTTTTGTTGTTCATACTGATTTTTCTACTTGAGAAGCTAGAAACCTGGAGAGGCTTTTTAGGCTTGGTGAATTACGGAATTACAAGTTTTTAGTATTGCGAATAGCGTCGTGCAAATATTAATAAAATACTTATCCGAATTTTGCGGATTCCTCTATATTTTATATTGATTTTTATAATAAATAAATATGTATATATTTTGACTGTTGGTCTAATTATACCACACTTATTTAATACAAAGTCTATGTGGACACATTTCAAATTAGGTTAACATAAAATTTGTATTAATGCAAAAAAGTCTACTAAAAATAAACAAAACTTGACTTTTCCTGGATTTCTTGTTTTAATAAAAAAATTCGATTTAAATAAAAAAATTAAATTTTTTTGGATTAAAAAAAATCAAAAAATAACCCTGCAAAAATATACCTAGTATTTGTTTTACAAGTTAAAAATAACTATTTATTACCTTCATAAACATTTCCATCCTTAGTTTTAACATAATAATCGTTAGCTAAAGCATCCTCATGTAAAAAGTATCCATTTTCCCGTTTAATGTGTGGGTCAATAATAACAATTAGTTTTCGGCCAGTTGAGGTTAAATTATTAATCATAGCATGTGGGTTTGAGAACTTAATGGGATCCCAAGTGAAATATTTTTTACCATCAGTATACTCAATGTCCAACCAGATAAAATCAACTGGGAAATCGCCTTTATCCAAATTTTCTATTACATTCACTACATCATCTTGATCATTGTAGTTCCATCTGCATTGATGGTAACCCAAAGTATAATACTAAAATTTTTTAAATAATTTAATCATTCACGAATAATATTAAAAAATATATGTATTTACTTGTTGAAGAGGAGCTGCTCCAGTCAAAGAAGCAAATTGTCTGACAGTATCCTTCGGTTTAGGACCCATCATCACAAACAAATCAAAAACACCAGTTTCACTCATGAAATGAGCATCCACTCTTGCTTCTGTTTTATGACCAGAAACCAAGTTTACAATGGAGGAAACAACGTTTCCGTCTTTACTGTTATTAATGTCTACCCAGGTTTCAGCTGCATTGTGCCAGAAAACGCCAACAGTGTGTTTTGGACTATAATAAAATGTATGGAATTTTTAGCATGAAAGTTTTTTTGACGTGAGTTCGCTAATTCTTAAAAATCGCGATTTCGCAAATCGCCTTTATTTGCGAAATCAAAAAAGCTTTCATGGAAAAAATGGTACAAAATGATGCAAAATCGCAAATATTGCTCTAATCACTAAAAAGTATTTTTCATATATTTTTTAAATTGTACAAGAAAACTTGTTTAAGAGTTTAAAAAAGTGGTCACGGTTTTAAAAAAAACAATGCTGTTTTATATTTTTGTATTTTATATTTTTGATTGTATTTATAAGCAAAAGTATTACACCTTTATGCAAAAACTATTAATTTGTAAGTACAAAGTTCTTTGACAAAACAAATATTATAAATGTGCTAAAACGGTTTTTACTTCTAATTGTTTCAAACATTAAATCCTCCTAGGTCAAGGCCATTTATTATAGATATTTTAAATTACTTATAGATCTTGAAGTTTGTGCGCACCATTAGGGTTTAAAAATTTCCGGAAAAATTGAGCCGGAAAAAAAAATTGAAAAATTGGGAAATTTTCAGAAAAACTGAATTTGCATTTTTCATTTCATTTTAAGGTTTTTTTTTGAAAAAAATTCAATTCAATATTTATTAAAATTTCTAAATATCTGTAAACTGATATAGAGAAAAAAGTGAATTTCCAACTCTGATTTACCAATTATGGTTATAATAATTATTCCTATTATTTTAATTTTAGTTTAAGAATATTATACTGGGCAGCAAAAAAAGCAACTATCATTTTATTTAACACATCAATATATAAAATTATAATTTTGTAATTTTGCAAAAAGAACCCAACTGACAGTATATTTAATCTTGACGTTTATTTTTATTTTTTTAATTAATCATATATTATATCACGAGAACTATGAATTTAATCGGTTAAACTAGGCTCAGAAGTTTTTTTGTTGGAAAATGTTGAATGCAAAATAATTTAATAAAATCACGAGACCGCGTAGCGGTCGATGGGTTTTATTTTTAATTATTTTGCATGAAACTATTTTTCAAAAAGAAAAATCCATAGAAATCATAGAAATAATATTATTTCTATGGAAAAATCAAATAAAAAACTTACTGAACATAGTTTGACAGATTAAATTTATAGGTTGGGTGATATTAGACTGGGCCAAAAAAATTGACTATTTTTTTTTTGAAAAATATATCGAGAATGTCATTCAGAATGACAAATAAAAAATTTCGTGAAAATTTGAGCCCTTAATATTAATTTTAAGAGGTCTATCATCGCTATTTTTGATTTTTAGTCATAATTTTATGTTTTGCGTTAGAACTGTCAAAACATTAAAGTGAAAAAAATTCCTTTTCACTTATTTTTATATAAAATTAAATTCTCTACAAAAAAGGTCTGATTGAAAATTTTCGTCAGACGAGCCCCTTCCGAGTAATTGAGCTTAATAAATCGATGTGTTTTTTCGATTTGCCCTTTTTACTTTGAAATTTTGTAACTAATGAATCAATGAATATTTTAAAAAGCTCACGTCGAATTCTTAAAGGAAATTTAATGTTCTACAAAAAAGGTCTCTTAACATTTTTGCCTAAATTTAATTCTTCAAAAGTTATTCACGATTAAAATCGAAGAAAAACTTAAAATTTCAATTTTTTCTTCGTGAATAACTTTTGAAGAATTAAATTTAGGCAAATATGTTAAGAGACCTTTTTTGTAGAACACTAAATTTCCTTTAAGAATCCGACGTGAGCTTTTTAAAATATTCATTGATTCATTAGTTACAAAATTTCAAAGTAAAAAGGGCAAATCGAAAAAACACATCGATTTATTAGGCTCAATTACTCGGAAACGGCTCGTCTGACGAAAATTTTCAATCAGACCTTTTTTGTAGAGAATTTAATTTTATATAAAAATAAGTGAAAAGGAATTTTTATCACTTTAATGTTTTGACAGTTCTAACGTAAAACATCAGATTATGACTAAAAATCAAAAATAGCGATGATAGACCTCTTAAAATTAATATTAAGGGCTCAAATTTTCACGAAATATTTTTTTTGTCATTCTGAATGACATTCTCGTTATATTTTTCAAAAAAAAAAATAGTCCATTTTTTTGGCCCAGTCTAGGGTGATATACATCTACATATAGATTATAATATATTATATAGATTATTTCTCGAATTAAAGGAAACTATTTAACAATTCATAAAATCTGACGTAGGTGTCAAAATTTATAAATATTTTTTTAAAGAAAATTCCATTAATTTAAGGTATGTAATAAGTAATAATTGATATTTCGTAAACTAGATAACTTATTTTTTATTGTTTTTTAAAAAATGTTTGTTAAAACTTGTAAATAACACCATAAAATCGTAAACAAAAATCCAATATGGAGGCAAAAATTTAATCGCTTATTTAAACGAAATTTATTCGAAAATTCAAGGCTTTTGATTGGTTCATATTATAATGAAGGAAATAATCAAATTTAATTTAATATTGTTTTATAGTTGTTTTTTCTATAATAATGGATATTTTTTAAAATTTTTGATAATGTTAAGTTGTTAATTGCTACTTTTATAAAAATGTGTATATTTTCCAAAAAAAATTACAAAAAAAAACACAATTTTTCCAATTTTTTGAGTAAGCCAAAAACAGTAGTAAATTTTTTGAAAATATATACTTAAAATTAAAAATAAACAAATAAAACAATATTTTACTTACGAATGGGCATATACAACTGGCACAGCTCCATAAATTGCCATTGTTGAATCAACTTCATATTCAAAGACATCCAGGTTGTACAACCTGTAAGGATCGAGACCACCAGGGCCTGTACTTCTGAGCGAGAGTCTATCGGCATGATCTGGCAAACCATATATACGTAACGCATCAGGGAATGAAACGTCAAAACCGATGGCTTCTGGACCTCTTGGCTTGCTGTCATGATGTGATTTGAAGTTTTCTTCCCAAGTGCCAGGGTCCTCTTGAGGTGGTTCTTGACCCTCACTGAAAGAAATAGGATTCTTTGCTGCCTTATTGTATATAGGAAATAAAATAAAAAACCATTTTGTTTAAACTATACTAGGCAAACCTTTATTATTTGTGGTAACAGGTACATTGATCAAATAATGCTACAACTTTAAAATTCTGAAAATCATTCATGAAAATAATTTACTTTCTAATTATATTTTTTAGTTTAATATTTAACGTTTATATAATGTAAATGATTTTAAAAATATTGTCCACATTAATATATTAATTAAAATATTTATGCATGAGTTTTGGTTTTATTTTAGAATAAATAATTATAATAATTATTTATTTAATCATAAAACGTTTATCAGTAAAATTTGCAGTCTGTATAATTTAATTATTGTATTGATTAAAGAAGTTTTTCATACTAAATAATAATATACATAAAAAAATATATATATGTACCTATTATACCTAATATTACTTATATAATATTAATATAATATCTATAATATTAATATAATATCTATATAATCTATAATTACTTACAAAATAATAATATACAATGCTCTTTGTTTGTGGAAACTAAATTAAAGGAAGACATCAGTCCATTTAGAGATTGGTCCATTATTCAAAAAAAAGGTAATATACTTAATACTAACGTGAGAGGTGGCACTCTTATTATGGCATCAAGAAACTCTAAACTTGGCAAACAAAACCCACCAAGAATCAACAACCCTATGAATTAAACTCTTCATGTCTCCCTTCCCTTTTTCGCAGATAAACTGCATATTTTCCTGGAATATATACACCCACATTGCGTAATTGAAGACACCATCTTTGTTAAAGCCTCTCAGTGCAAATATGCCATTATAATTGGAGATTTTAATGTAAATCAGCAAAAGAAAAAACAAATATCTAACTTTTTAAATAATTCCAATTTCGAACAACTAAAAACTCCTCCCACTTTCATTATGGCCAATAACCCCGACTCCACGCCAGATATTCTTCTCGAGATCTCTGTACCAAAAACATAGTAAGCAGCATAAAAAACATATCTGTTCTCCCAGATTTATGTACTGATCATTTAGCCATTCAATTTGAAATTATCAGCCATCAACTTCCAATAGCTTCCATTCCAGAGTACATCCTGAACTTTGATAGATGCAACTTTGAAAAAGTAAACATGGAACTATTAAATTGTTGCTCTTTGGAAAGATCATTTGACAAAACATCTATTAAAAATTTTCTAGTACAACTGAAAGAGAGCGTTATAAATAACACACCCAAAATAAAAAGATCATATTTTAACTACAATCTTCCACCATACATTCTTGCAATGCTGAAAACGAAAAGAAAACTTTACAGAGAAATTATACAAAATAATGATCCTCAATTAAAAACTCTCTTTAACAAATATAATAAGTTAGTCCACAATATGGTTGCCCAATACAAAACACACAAATGGCTTGAGGCTTGTAAAAACATTAATGACCTATGAGGAAAAAACTATTGGAAGGAGATTAAAAAACTTTCAAAATATGGAAACTGTCCCCAATCCCACAAAATTATTGAAAACAACCAAACACTTACATCAGATAAAGATATAGCCACAGCCTTCTTAAATTATTTTGAAAGTAGCTATAAATTTTTGGAGGATCCCAAATTTGATAATACGTATCTTAACAACATCAATGTCTGGTACAGCAATTTCTTTAAGGTACAAAACGTCAACTTAACCACTCCCACCATTAGCGAAATAGAATACTATAAAGTTCTAGAAGAAGGAAAAAATTCCGCCCCAGGACATGACTATGTTAACAGAAAAATCTTGTACCAGAAATTCACGAATACATCTTAAAAATTTATAACCACTGTTTAAAACACCATTACTTCCCGTCAATATGGAAAGAGGGCATTATCATAACTATTCCTAAATCTACATCTGCTTCAACACCAAGTGATTACAGACCAATCACTCTTTTACCTGTGATTGGTTAAAACTTTGAAAAAATTATTAAAAATCATCTACTCCAGGAGATCGGCGATAGGATTCCGCAGTATCAATTTGGTTTTAGAGAAAAACACTCGACAATACATCCGCTAATTACACTGGTCTCAAATCTGCAGCAACACAGCATAATAGGACACCACTCGACAGCTCTTTTCCTTGACATTAGCAAAGCTTTTGATAGTGTGTGGCATAGAAGCTTGTTATATAAACTATATATTCTGGACTGCCCAGAATATCTAATGTGGCTGATTAAAAACTTCTTGGAAAACCGATCTCTTAAAGTAAAAATAAACAAATTCACTTTAACATCTTTAACATCCCCATTATCTTCAACACTCTTCAATTTATTCGTTTACGATATAATAGATGTCAACTATCTGCCCCAAAAAACTTACATACTGCAATACGCCGATGACACAGCTTTAATAGCCCACAACAAATCCCTCTTAACAGCTCTCAATAACCTGCAATCGGCAATTAACATGATCTCTTATTGGTTTGCAAGTTGGCGAATAAAGATTAACGCCAGGAAATCTCAATTTATTATTTTTAATCACAAAATTAAAGATGACTCGCCACAAATATCAATAGAAAACCTTCCTTAAAAAACCTGGAGACTGCAGAAACAACAAGCCTTCGGCATCTAACCAAAATTAGACATTCAAGAAACCCCTTATTCAACCCCTTAAATCTGCTTTTGTATGAAATAACCAACATGACACCCATTATGGAAAGGATATGTAACCTCTCTGAGAAATTCTGCAATAGAAGTAGAAACCTTGAAATAATGGAACCCTTTATTTTTCCTGAAATAGAAGGCATCCAAAAAAAAAGGAAATTTCCAGTGAAATCCCTTGGAAAATTATTTTGGAACAGATAGACTAATATTAATTTTTTTTTTTAAGATAATTAAGTTTATGTACCTAGTTTAGAACTATATCAAATATTTTGTAAAATAAAATTGTTATATAGGCAGAAAGACTTCGGTCGATAGCCTTTTGGTTTTTCCAATAAATATATTTACTACTATACATAAAAAATATATATATGTACCTAATATACTTAATATTACTTATATAATATTAATATAATATTATTATAATACAATGTATTATTATTATTAGGTACATAATATGTTTTATTATTTTATCCTTTACTAAAAAAAATTGTCATTCACCAAAATCTTCATATACCAGTTTAACTAAAAACAGGGTGTACCTACCTATTTACTGTTCGAAAATTTTGATAATAATTTTATGCTGTCTGGCAAAAAATATATTGCATTAAATTAAATCAGTAATAATTCCCTAAAATTTCCTCCCTGGCAAAATAAATTCCGATATTTTCCGGTTTTCCGGAAAATAGGGAAAGTAAGTAAATACATACAATAAATACAAAAACACAGTTCAAATCAATAATTTAATTCCATATAAAATACCCCATAGAGACCCTGTTCAAATTAAATACATACAATAAATACAAAAACACAGTTCAAATCAATAATTTAATTCCATATAAAATACCCCATAGAGACCCTGTTCAAACCGATAGATATTTGTATTGGAATGTATGGTGTTTCTATAGGACCCATAGTTGGGATTTATGGTTGTTCTATAGGGATATCCACCCTTGATTTATTTGCTATTGGTTTCAATGAGGAAAATCCACATAAATGTAGAAATTAGTTTTTCCCCCATAGGACCCCATAGGTTTTAATAAAATTTTGTCAAATGTTTTATGGTTGTTCTATAGGGATATCCCTGTATATCCTTCATTGAGTTATTTGGTATTGGTTTTAATAGGGAAAATGTAAAATTTATGGTGTGCCTTTAGGTAATTTTTGGAAAAAACCATGAACAAATGCACATATTGAATCCGGTAGCGCCCGATAGATTATTTTATATAGGTCTCTATGGGGTATTTTAAGCAGGGCTATATACCAATTTTTAATTTTAGACGTCACTTGTTTTTTATAGGCTTAAAACTGTTGAGTGCTCGGTTGAGTGAAGTACACCTTAATCAATGCTTACAACTATGAAATCATAAATTGACAAGAATTATTAACTGTTTTAAATTATTTATTCTTAAAATTAACTTTTTAAAAATCCGAAATATTTATGAAAAATAGGTGAAAATTTTTTATTCCTCAATTTTTTTTAAAGATTTTTGTACTACCTATATTTAATATTATAATATAGGAAAATATAGTACATTTTCCATATTTTTTGGTATATAAGGTTTGGACTGATATCTGAACATTTTAATTAAGTGTTAAAATATTTTTTAAAAACAAATTATTTATAAATATTGTGATAAAAATGTTTACTTACACTTCAGGAGTTTTGGTTCTGTAATGTTCAAAAGTAAATAATCCTCTACCATTAACAATAGTAACCAAATCACCTTTGTGATAAAATTCCAGTTTTAATGGGTTAGCATTAATAATGGCAGTGTTTTCCTCAGATTTTATCTTTACCAAATCGGATGTTCTTTCTAATATTTCCAATCTAAAAGAATGAGAAATAATTGCTTAATATATCTCAACAAATATAAATTTACTTACTTAGCTACTTGAGGTTCTCCATTGAGTGCATACTGAACCCTGTACCTTGGGTAAAGTGGTTTAACCTCATCAATAAAAACCCTAAATATATTACCTGCAATTGCAGTTAAAGTGAATTGAAAGTTAGCATTGGCTTCTGTATTGACTAAAACCGCCTCTACGGAATTATCTGTGACTTGCAATGTTTCCAAGTTTAATTGATATTTGCTTTCTCCAGGTTTAACACCTCGTAAACGACTGCAATTTATTATAGATTAATATGGATAAACTAACAATATTTTAAAAACTTACCGACAAAAACTGCTTTGTTCGCATGTTTTAAAATTATTTTTATCTACTGCTACAGTAAATCCAATGAGTAGAAGACAAAATAGTTCCCTGGAAAACGCCGGTAATTTATTTTAACGATGCATAAAATCAAAAGAAAAAAAAACGCAGAAAATTATTATAAAAGACTTATTTAAAATATAGGAATATTTATGTAAAATCTATTTATATATTTTTATTTATTGTTCATGTTACTTACTTTAACATTAGCGCCATGTTGGCAGCCAAAAACTAACCTCACAAAAAAAATTGACAGATAAGTTGTAAGAGTACGAGGATGATCCTGATTGGTCCTATATTCAGGTACAAAATTTAAATATGAGATTACACGATTTTTACTTATTAATAAAATGTTTGCCTACCTACCTTTTTATCAATAAATAATAAAAATAAAACAAATTATTGTTTCTATAATTAACTTAATTTCGTTGTAAAATAATAATATTAATATAATAATTATTATATTATTATATAATAATAATATATAATATAATAAATTAAAACAATAAAAATAAAACGAATTGCTTGGAAGTAATTAGGTAGGTATCTTTATTTTGTTGGAAAAGGTTTTAAAGTGGCAAGTTGTAATTATCGTATTTATCAATCTTATTTTTAGTGCTGTAAAGGATTGCTAAACCTTCATTTTTGGAAATTGGTTTAATAGCGATAGGTTTTTTGTTTAATCGTTTTCCCTGTTTCTTTAAAATATCTTCTATTAAATTAACACTTTTCAACCTTACTACAGCTTTTCCTGTGGAGCATCCATCAGCAGTTGTTAAAAATAAAATTCCGTAAACACCATCCTCGACAGGAGAACAAGTTAAGTCGCCCTTAAGGAAGTTAATTATCTGAATTACGTTGGTTTTTTCGGTAAATCCTGAGAGCAAGACAAAAACTTCAGGTTTGTTTTCCTTGAAATATTCAAAATCATTTTTTGTTATTTCTTCTGGAAATCAATTTAAATTTAAATGTCTGGGTGATTAAAATAAAAAATGAGTTTTACCTCAAAATGGGTATGTATACCTGGGCTCTTTGCATCCATAGGTTCATTAAAATTTTGCTTGGGATAGTTCCAGAGTGACATTTTTGTAATTTTTGACCCAAATGGCGTTTAAAAAATACAGGGTGATCATTTATAATTTGTTTGTGGAAATAAAACAAGTTATATAGTAGAGTATAAATATGTTTTATTCTTTTAAAATATAACAAAGCTAAGTAAGTAGTGTGTATATTTAAGGAGCGACTCTTTTGGGGTCGCGAGGAAACATTGAAGTCTTTCTAATATTGTCCAAGCCTAAGTACAACATAACTACTCTTTCCATGCCAATGCCTCCACCTGCATGAGGCGCGCATCCATATTTAAAGGCGTCAATGTATGCGGCAATTTTAGAAATATCTAAAAAATTTAAAGATCAATTTTTTGCTTCATTTTTCTGTTTTTCTGAATTTACCTATTCCATGATGTTTAGCCCTTTCCGTTAACAAATCAGCGTCATGAATACGCTGAGCACCACTTAGAATCTCCTCTCCCCTCATAAACATATCATATGAGTTGGAGGCAATAGGGTCATTGGGGTCAGGCATTGTGTAAAAAGGCCTAATGGCTAGCGGATATTTATCCAAAATGTAATAATCGGTATCGTATTTCGCCTTCACCAATCTTCCAAGGAGTTTCTCAGCAGGTGTACTTAAATCCTCTTCTTCTCCAACCTCAACACCAGCTTCTGCAAGCATTTTTCTTGCATCAGGGTATTGGAGGACTAGAGGGGGCTCCAAGAATGAGAAAGGTTCGACGGAGAATTGTTGGCCTACAATTTCTATTTCACGCTTATACCTAAAATTTAAAAAAAACAATATGTAAGTACCAAAAGTATAAAAATAGGCCATTTGTGTTGTCAAAAATTCTTAAAAGTGAATTGTCTATAACAACTACTTATAGTCCGGTCAATCTAGACATTCGAAGGTACATAAATTTACAACAAGCTGAAAATCAGTAAAATTGTTCAGAATATAATTATAAATAAAATTTTAAAGTTCCCCATCATTCCCCTGTATGGGAAATTTTTTATTCAAGGTCAAAGATCAAAAAAATGATTTTTCGCGATTTTCAGCAAAACGGTAAGTTTTATCATAAAAATACACCAGACAAAAATTGTAGATCATAAAATAATCTATAAAAAATGTATTAATACTTTTTTTCTACGAGCCACCGTTTCTGAGATATAACGATTCGAAAAGTTGTAAAAGTTATAATCGCCATAATATGCTCACATTTCCACGCCACCTATGAGGTAGTTTACTAAGCGCGTTTTTAAACGTGGTTTCCCCAGTAGGCCTATTTCACGGGTCACTTGTGATCCTGTTTAATTTGAAACTATTGCAAAATAACGGAAATTAGCAATGATTGGAAAAGATAATAGCGATGTAAATTTAAAAAAAGTACTGAAGTTTATTCGTCTGATTCGTAACATTTAAATTCTTTTTCTTGTTCTTCTTGATCTTCTTCTTGTTCTTGTTGTTCTTCTTCTTCATCCTGGGTTCAAGTAAATTGCGTCAATAGCGATGTATCGCATCTCGCCTCGTTGGAATTAAATGAATCCTCCACTGTTGGTGATTCAACATTAGAGCACGACCGGCCTTGACAATTCGTACATGCCAGAGAATAAAACAGTCCGATTTTTTTGCAACCACATTTAGCACTGCATCCCTTTTTGCAGGGTCTAGCTGATAACCAAGCCACACTTGAACATGGTAATATACCCGAAAAAGATGTTGATGAGCAGCAACTGAGGTTGGAGGAAGACAAGCTAATTGAACTTGTTTTTTACTTTTAGAATTTTTAACGAAACATGCATATCGATACTTATCAAAGCAGGTAGTTTTTTTAGGAGCTCCGTATATAGAAAGAAGAAATCGAATGCCGATAACTTCTTGTCCCGAAGACCCTTTTCCTCGAGTTTGGACGAAAAATCTCCGCTCGTTCGAAAGTTAAGCGAAGACAACGAAACGTGCCAAATTTGACGGAAAAATCGAAAAAAAGTGGACTTGGACCTTTTCTACACCGGAAAAATTTGGTCCGCGGATAGGTCTCGTGGGCAGAAAAAAAGGATGCAAATTTCAACCTTCAACGGCCTTCGAGCTACGGCGCTTAGAAAAAAAGGATATACAGACAACGGAAAAAATAAATATTGCAAACGGGCCGGATACGCCGGCAACTTTTCGAACAGCGTTCTTTTTTTATTTTTTTTCGAAAAATTTTCAAACGTTTTTTAGGTCGAGAGAAATTTTCGAAATTGGCCGAACGAAATACACGAATCGACGGGAAAAAGACCAAAGTTTGACATACTAAAAGATGAGCTTTATCGAATAAAAACTAATCGGCCAGAAGCCCGTTTAATTTTTGTTGGGTATTCAAAAAAGTTAACCAATTAAAATCCTCGAAATCAAATCGATAAGGTGGCAAATGACAGGTGGCATATGACAGGGACAAATGACAGGTGACAGATGACAGGTGACAGGTGACAGATGACAGGTGACAGATAATAGGTGACAGATGTCAAATTGACAGATGACAAGTAACTAATGACAGTAGACAGATTACAATTGACAGATAACACATAAGGTGACAGAAGACGTGAGAAATATAAAATTCATCTTTAAAATTACTACCCAGTTTAGGTGGTGCGGTCGCGGCGCGAGTCCCACCCGCAGCGAGCACCAACTATGGCAGGTCAAACAATTGAACATGAGACAGATCATCTGTCATCTGTCATCTGTCACAGATTTTGTCTTAAGGTTACAATGGTGTATAAATTAATTAATTTATACCCAGTCCCTTAAGGGACTGGGTTTTATTTCACTTGATATTCTTTAAGAATATCAAGTGAAATAAAACCCAGTCCCTTAAGAATAATTCTTATAGTTATAACTTATGTAGGTATACTTTATATTTTAAGTGTAAGTTAAAATGACCTATAGAAAAATATTTTAACATATATTACAACTCTAGAGATACGTTGCGTGCATATTATGACGATTACAACTTTTACAACTTTTCGAATCGTTATATCTCAGAAACGGTGGCTCGTAGGAAAAAAAGTATTAATACATTTTTTATAGATAATTTTATGATCTACAATTTTGTTTAAGGTATTTTTATGATAAAACTTACCGTTTTGATCAAAATCGCGAAAAACTAATTTTTTTTACCTTTGACCTTGAATAAAAATTTTTCCATACAGGGGAATGATGGGGAACTTTAAAATTTTATTTATAATTATATTCTGAATAATTTTACTGATTTTCAGCTTGTTGTAAATTTATGTACCTTCACTGTTATTTTTTGGTCTAATTTGACCAGACTACTTATATTTAAGGCCTGTTTTTTAAACATTAACAATTTGATATAAGTTCTGACACAACAGTGTATTTTAAGTGTGGGTAATTGAATGAATATAAAACCCTGGTGAGACAAAGTATCTAGAAAACCTGTATAAAACGCGTTGCCGTTAATAAAATGCTGGTACATATTTTGCAGCAGTATGTCAATAAGTTGAAAGTATTATACTGCCATACAACACTAAAATGCAGTACATCCAATCAGTGGCGGACTAAGACCGTCGGAGGCAGGGAGCGGAAAAATAAAATGGAGTCCCTATATTATACTCAGTTTCTCTCTAAAAATAGATTTTTATTTAAAAAAAAGGTTTCAATATATATATATATATATATATATATATATATTAGGTATACCTAATACCTGAATTTGCAGATTCTTCGTAACCGCCCCTCCAAGACCCTTAATATAATCAGAGACATGAAAATTGATTACAATCGAACTTATATTTAAACTTGTTTGTAATTTCTTTTTCAAAATCATAAGGCCCACTTATAGCAGTTCTGGATCAAAAATTACACAGGTTTACAAATTTTTTTAAACAGAAAGCAGATTATATTTTTCTGAAGTGCTGCATCCCAATTCGACCTTAGAACTCGCCGAAAATGCCCCTTACAAACCAATTAAAACCAATATGAAATTGAATATGATTGTATGGAGGGCAAAACATCCGTCTATTGGTATGAATCTGATCACCACTTAGAGCTAAAATCTATAGGTTCCATTTTTTTGAAAAAAAAACGTATTTGGATTTTCCAATTTAATACAAAACGTGTTTGTAGGGAAAATTTACCATAAATGCTATTTCTTATGGTTTCCTTTGGTTTCTTTTTGGAAATCGCCACTCGCTGGCTTTCCATTTTAGAGCCGTTTCACATGCGACTGATAAAGTCCTGACGATCAGTCCTGATGACTAGGGGCCATTGTTTAAATGAACTTTTTCACATGCACTGCGTATCATCGGTTGACTGATTCGTCGGTACGGGCATCGGGACAGCCCGTGCGCACTGCGTACCGTCAGGACTATTAAGGGCTGTTAGTTGTAGAGTATTTCATATGGTACGTACGGTCAGCAGAAACAGTGTTGCACAATAAGTAGTTTACGCATTGAAACAGAAATTGTAATAAGTAGCATCGAACAGCGAAGATGCATCTGGTATGCAGATGATGAGAACTACAAAAAAGGGATGCAAAGAACAAAGCATTTGAAGAAGTAGCGGAAATAGTAGTTCCGGATTTTGAAAATTTTGCGGAAGCAAAAAAGAACTTTTAAAATTTTGCGTTGTATTATTCTCTTTATACAAAAAGCGGCAACAGCGCAGTTCTGGAGGCGCTGAGAACCGTCTCGTAGTAGACATTTCCGTACTATACGTTGCTTGTGAAACAATGGCCATGACCGTCAGTCCGTATCATCCGGACTGATCGTCAGGACTTTATCAGTCGCATGTGAAACGGCTCTTATGTGTAGGTTGTGTGTAGGTTTTATAAGTCGATCGTTTATTATTTTAAATTAGCTGGGCTTCCGAACTGACGAACTGCACCTAATAATAGTCCAATGGAAATGACCAAATTGGATCGCAAAAAGGTAGGTTCGAAATAGAAGAGGGTCCCTTTACGCCTCTTACTGTATTTCAAACTCCACTTTAAATTACCTGTTGAAAATCTTCCATGTATGCTAGTTAGATTTAATGGGTAACGGAACCGATAGAGGTAAGAATGGTGAAATTTCCAATAAAACTTCTATGGGTTACTATTGTATTTGTCTTAGCAGAAAATACCCAAGAAGTTAATGGTGGTATATTCTACAATTACCTATATACAGTGTGTCCGTAAAGTCCCGGAACATGTGATTATTTTGAAAACGGTAATTTTTTTTAAAAAACGCTGAAACACGCCAACTTTGATATTTTTCTAGCAATATTTTAGCATATGTAGTTGTTCCAAATTCTGCCGCGTGGCGGCGCCACAATCAAAGTCAGTTTTTTTTTAAATTGCAACCCTTTATTTTTGTTGCATTTTTGGATAGCTACCGTTGTCCTGATTACATTGATGTGCCACATCTGGGGGGTTACATAAGAAAATTTTTGAGAAAATCAGGTTTTTGCTGCCGAATGAGATTTTGGGATTTTGTCAAACTTACACAATCTATGCGTTGCTTAATGTTTTTTGGAAAGCCAATCAGAGCAGTTGCTCAAAGTGTCCACCGTAAACTATTTGGAAATGGAACAGCCTGTCTACAAACTAGCGTTGTACGTTTGCCAGTACCGCTGGAGTGATCATCTGGATCTCGGCTTGAATGTGGTGTCTTAGGTCGTCCCAATTTTAAGGCCTGTTTACATAGACGCGGTTTTTAAGAGGTCCCCATAAAAAGAAGTCTAATGCATAGTGCCCCGTAACAGCGAATAAGTTCGTCAAAACCAAAATCATAATCAGCGGCA